ATTGTTTCTGGACTGTGCATGCTCTTTCACTCTCTCACATTTAATATTGGACTGCCTCCTACCTTGACTCTGATCCTGGACTGCTGACCACCCTGACAGCCCTCCTAAGCTGCAGGACTCAGCTTCACACTACCAAACCTAGTCCTGGTATTCCGCCTATCCCAGCCACTGCCCACATTCTGACCCTTACGAAAGTAACAGCAGGCCTCCTCCTCTCCTCTCCTCTCCTCTCCTCTCCTCTCCTCTCCTCTCCTCTCCTCTCCTCATTGAAAAAAAAAGTTTGGAATGTCCCAGTGCATCAAGGCACAACTCCTTGAAAGTAAGCCAACATGCATGTCTACTCAGAAATAAATGGGATTATTTTCCATGACCTTACTCAGCAGTAAGTCGCATTGCTTTAAGTGGTGCTTACCCTTGGGAAAGTTGGAGGGGGGAGGGGCTGCACTTGTTCTTGGCAATTGCTCTTGAATGCAGGGGAACAGGGGTGCTGATTCTGGTGGTGGTTTCCTGCAGGAGGATAAACAATGGCTTCCTACCCCTCTCTCCCTATCCATTGCTCCTTTCTGATTATTTGTTTTGATTCGGCAAGAGAAGCTGCCTATTTTTTCCTTTTTTTTTTTTTCTTTCAAAAACGATCTCTGTTCATTTCCCCTGCATATATCACCTTTCATTCTCTTCCTACTTTTCCTGTATTTGTGTGAGTGTCACAAGATAGGCTTCCAACACAGTAGAAACTGTACTGAATGTATTAGCATGTATTGCAACAGCAGTAAATAAGTTTTCCATAAATGCTTTAACGAAGCACCCCGATCAATAGAAGGGGCTCTGGTGTAGATTCATCCCTTGTAACTGGAGATGCTGGAGACTGAATCTAAGACTTCTGAATCTAGTATGTGTTTTCTGCAACCAAGTTATAACGTTTTTGGATGCTTCATTTGTCAGCATTGCAACCCACTCCCACTACTTGGTAGGCATGAGGAAGCCAAGATAATTCCTTTCCGCCATGAATGTTGTCAGCTTTAATTGTGTAGCAGTTGACTTAATCTAAGCCATACAAAATTTAAGAATGTGCTTAGTTTCCTTTAAAAGAAGAATGGTTATTGTCTTCAGAGACCTAAGCAAGTGTCCAAGCCAGGATAGGCAAGGATGAATCTTTCTTGATTTTCCTTAAGCCCTTACTTCTAACTGTTCTAAGAAATCCCTCCTTTCCATTGTCACATCCCATTTCAGAAAAGGAATCCAATCACAGAATGGTTCTATCACCCCACAGCCAATCAACACTGAGCACATTAGTTTCACATTAGGGCAAATGTGACATGCAATGAGTAAATAAGGGAGGGGGATTTATGTCAATTGCACCCTTGATAAGTGGAGGCCCTTGAACTTGGAGGCTTCTGGTCATCCAGTGAAGAGTGAGGGCACCAGCAGAACAATTTTTACTTCCTTGTCCGCCTGCCTTGTATTTGTTGGGTTTTTTAGTCCACCTAGCAAGGGTGTCAGAGGAAGGAGGCTGAGGAGACCTCAGGAGACCTGGATTTTCCAGTTTCCTTTCCCTCCTACCCACCAAAATATCCTCTTGCTCCACAGCCCTAACCTTGATGCAGTGCAGACAGACTGCACCCACCTCCCCAGAGCACGGCACAATGTGCCATCAGATCTCTCAACCCGATACTTTTAAAACAAATTCAGAAACTTCCTCTAATGCTGGCAGAAGAGGGTATTACTTTTCACAAGTACTAAGAGATAGGGGGAAATGCTCTTCATTCACCTGAAAGCCAAACCGTCTTCTCTTACTACAAGCACATGTACTTTCTTACACTTTCATTCACTGAAATTTAAAGCACAAACCTCTTGGAGCAGGAACTTGACTTTTTGTTGCTCAAAGAGTTTTGGGTAATGGATGGTATAGAACTCAAGCATATGCAATGAATATTCTGTAAATTGCCATGGCTGGTGATGGTGCTCTATAAACAATGTTCTTCACATGCAGATATGCCAGTATAGTAAAAGCTGCAGTTCTATGCACATGTACCTGAGAATAAGTATGTGATTCTGAGCAGGTATCTGTAGGATGATACTGATTTTTGCATAATTTTGCACAATTTGTAAAAGCACTTCACCAAAAACCTCTATTTGCTATCTCTGTATGTTTGCCACAAGAGGTCAGTGTATACTTGTCTGTTTTTAAAATATTGTCTGATGGCATCAACAAATGATACATTGTGGGTTGGGTGGATGTGATTGCAAACTCCCAATGTATAGCGTTGCATGTTTTTTGGAATACCATTGTGCATAGAGGTCTTTGCTGTGAGTCACTGCTTAAATGTGTATTTAATGCTGCCTGGTAAAATGGACAAGCTTAATAAAATACTACTTAGCTGTGGCAATCAGTTCATTCGCCCACTCATGCACATCTGGTGAGCACTGTATGGGCTTTTGGATATGGAGCCGGGCATAGGCACATCAACCAATTTCTGGAGAGGGAATGGGACAGAGAGAAAAGGAATGGGAGAGAAAGCGAGAGAGAGCAGTGGAATGGCAAATGTTAAGGTTCAGACACTCGTGATGATTGTCCGCATTGCCATGTCCTCAAGGGGATTCCAAAAGTGCAGGTTTCTCTGTTGATCTATATAAACCAGACAGTCTGGTTTTTGCCCCTAGTAGGAGGAGGGCTGCTATGAAGCCAAAAGGCTTCACTGTCTCCGATCCAGGCAAAGGTACCCTGACTGCAGCTCCATTTAGAGGGAACAGAGAATTCTGAGATGGAGCGGCAACTTGCCATAGTCTTTGCTAATAAGTGTCCTAATGCAGCATCCCTTTGAGCTACAGCTCTGTAACCACGGGCTATTGTATGGAGCAAGCCGGGTGCACTGAACAGGCCTTGCTGCTGAAGCTAATGCTGTCGATCTCCTGGGCATGTGACAGGCATGTGCGTGTGCAGGCCCAGGTGGTCAAGATTAGGTGAACCACGCCCTGGGGGGTGTGTGTGACATTTTCAGTCAGGATGTGTCCAGAAGCCTGCAGTTTCACGGAGAGGCCTAAAGAGAATTTCAAACAACAAATGACTAAAATAAGCTTTAGTGAAGATCTGCAAGGTAAAGTCACAATGACTATCAAGGACTAACTCAGGGCCAGCACTATGTCTGTAGTCGACACAGCCAGGTTTCTTCACTGTGCATGGGAGGGCATGGAAAGATAAGCCAATCCCTGGGGCCCCTTGGTTGTGGCAGGGCAACATCCCCTTGCCATTAATGAAGGTCCTCCACTGGTTGTGATAAATCCACTAGAACCTGGCATTCTCAGATGCATTTGTTTTGTTCCATGATCATCTCATGTCAGTAAGCTTTTGAATGTTTTTGAAGCATGTTCAGACTGGCCAAATCTATTTGGATAGAGAGAATACTGGGATAGAAGCCCCCTCCCCTATTTTTACAGCATTTGCTAGCCTCTATTATGAGAGGTGCTCTTGTCCTGAAGATGCAGCACTCAAAATATCCCACATATTTAATGTTTGTAGCAAGAAATTCAGGCTAGGCCAAAAAGAAATGCACTTATTTCCAGTTCTGCCTGTCGCATGCAGTGAATCTGTTGTACTCCATGATGCTGGGTGAATGCTGACCTCAGGACTTTGAGGCGAGGAACTTGCAAGGCACTTTGGTCTTTTTAGCAGCCTGCTGGAGAAGGCAGACTTGTGAATACTTAAAGAAGTAAGATGGGACCTGTAAGAGCTTGCAGGGTGAGTGGCAGCGCACTCTTGCAGACTCCCCGAGTGCCATAGAAGGCCCCATACAATGCATCTCATTCCTGCTCTGCTTTGTTATAGCATGAATCTTTGCTGTAGTTGACGTATGTTTGTGATGCTGCTTCTGCCTTCAGTCTTGCAATTTCTTCTTCCATGTGTTGACTCTTGCCTGCTCTTGCCTTTGCTTTTACCTCTGGTTCAGCCACAGTGTTTACCAGCGTCTTGACCTTTGCCTGCTCCTGAACTGCCTTCAACTCTGGTCCTATCATGTCTTGCCAGGGTCTTACCCTTGCATCAGCTTGGTTCTCCTTCTCCCTGCAATGCCCCTGTTCCCAGAGTTCTGTTAGTGGGCCCTGCTTCTCCCATCCCAGAGCTGATATCCTCAGTAGAGTTCTCTTCCCCGAGCCTCCTTTCTCACCACCATTGTTACCAGTGATTATGGGTTCTCTTCCTCCTTTTCAGTATTGCGATGACTTGCTTGCCTAAGAAGCTGAACCGGTGAGAAAGTAGGTCCTGGCATCTCCTGCTCCTTTTCACTACCACCACATTCTTCTTGATGGGCTCCTCAGCAAGTCTCAGATCCTGCTTCCTCTTGATGCTAACCCTGGACTGAGAGGAGATTGTCTTGAAGTGTAGCTGAGTGTCTATGGCATTGTCCTTTGAACTTGGGCTCTATCCTGCTTGAGGAAGGAGGTTCTTGGATGACATGTATAGACAGATCAGTGCTTAACATTTTAGCATTAATTTCTAAAGAAGCAAAGGAAGAAACACTGTGAGCCAGTGTTACGCAGTGGTTACGAGTGAGGGACTGGGACGCAGGAGATTTGGGTTCTAGATGCCACTCAGCCATGGATCCAACTGGGTGACTTTGGGCTAGTCACAGACTCTCAGCCCATCCCACCTCACAGGGTTGTTGATTTGGGGGTATGACTGAGAGCAGCAGGAGGTGAATGATGTAAGCCACCTTGAGTTCTTGAAAAGAAGGAAAGCAGGGTATAATAAATATCAATTGCAAATGGAGGTTACTGTGGCTTTCTTCCTCCCAAAGAATATGTACATACCCAAACTTACTCAGCACTTGGTGCCAGATAGTAGAGCTTAGTGAGTTTGATGATCCTTTTAAGAACTGCACAAACTTCTACAGATGCAACGCTCTAGGTTTTTGTATCCTGATAGACCGCTGCGCTTAACTGATTCCTGTTTCTTTTATCTGCATTCTTTTTAGGACAGAAAACGGAACTCACCAGGCCACAGTGCTATGTATTTGGACAACAAAGATGATGGTGCCATCTCCAGAAAAGTAGACATGGAGTTGGCACAGGCCTCTGCCCCACACCATGTGGATTTGCTCAGAGATGCAGTGGCAGAACCTATTTCCAGTAATTTCAGTGAGCTGAAGCTCTTAAAGGAGATGGTGGCTGCCCAGGGAGAAGCTCAAAGCCCATATCTAAATGGTGGACCGAAACCAGAGTGTTGCATAACACTGGGGAAAGATTGCAGCTCCTTCAACATGCAAGGGAGGTAAGAAAAACCAAGAGCAAACCAAATCTACTTCTTCTGAAATATACAGCTTTATTTTCTGGTTCAATGATCAATAAACATTTTATTTAATATCTTCTTGCAATATAACCAAAACCTTATTTAGGAAGCTACAATAGCCGGTTGCTGGGCAGAAGGCATTCTCTCAACATGTTTCAGAATGAATATGTAGTTTTATAGCAGCTCTGCATACCTACATTTTTTTTCTTTTTGATTACATTTTTCAACAACTTGTTTTCCTTATTTTATTTATTTATTTAAAAAGCGTCTAGAGAACACAGAAAAAATGCCTTGGTGCTGATAAAATGATCCATAAATTGCTGTACTACATGATCGGTCTATGTTCGGGGAACAAAGTCTGTAATTATGGTTGACTGTTCTGGACATAAAAGAGATGCAAAACAACAGTTATGATAGGAGGAACAACATTCACTCAGTGTTCACTTACTTGAGTTGCTGAACATGTGGCAGATAATCTAGTCTTCTCTGTTTTAGCATTTGAGGCTGCACTGAAGTGATGCGGTGCTGATCGTTCTTGCCCCTTTCTATCCTTAGCAAATCAGACCTGGGACATCATAGCCCAAGGCCTCCTGTTTGCTTTGCAAGGACACATCTGGATCAAGTCCTAAGTATGGGGTGTCACTGAAGCTCAAGGGGAAACCCCACAGAAGGGGCAGCCTTGGAGCTTTTCTTGGTGGGTCTTAGCTCATCGTGGCACTAAGGATGAAGACTTCTCCGTTGTATTGTCACCATTCCTTCGAAGGGATGGCACTACTTTTGCTGCAGGAGAAAGCTTCACCTTGGTGCTGTGAATTTCTTGTTATGGGCTAAGGAAGGGAGCACACGGTCCTCCAGAAGCTGTTACACTGCCACTCTCATTGCCACTCCTCACTGGCTATACAGGCTAGGTCTGATGGGAACTGTAGTCCAACACTCCTGGAAGCAGATGGTAGGAGTAAGCAGGGAAGTAAGCAGTGGGGTCTCTCAAGGATTTCTATAGGGTCAGTACCATCAATGTATTGCTTTATATGGCAGCACCTCTGGCTAGGAATTCCTACCGAAATGAGGTAAGAGTGACTCAATCCCTAATGCTGATTAGATGAGAAATGAAAGCATTCTTATTCCACTTTGCTTGCAAAGGTTTTTAATACATACTTGTATATTTAAAACTCTTCTGCTTTTATAATTGGACCCCACCAAGGTGTTAACAGCACCTTGGCTTTAGGTTCTTAGAATTTAGTTTTAATTTTCCTTCTTTTATAATGTCTGGTTTTCTTTGAAAGCTGTTATAGGGACCCTTGTCATGGCTAAAAGGTGATAAATACTTTTCAAAATAAAATATAAAAATAAAGCAAATGGTCTTGGATTGGTAGTGAGGTAGCTGAATTTATGGATGACACCAAATTAGCCAGGAAGATGAAAACCCAAGCAGACTGTGAAAAGCTCCAAGCAGATATTTCCAAACTGGGTGAACAGGGAGCATAACAAATGATGTTTTGTAGTACTAAGTGTAATGTTCAATGGTGTAAAAAGGTCATAATTTCACAAATGCATAGCTGGGTTATGAAAAGCTATTGATGAAACTTTGGTATATAAACTGGTCTGTTGCTGAAGCAAGTTTTATTGGGCTGAGGGCTGAATTGTTTAAGTAGTTTTAAGTTTACTTTGAGTTTGGCTTTACACCTGTTAGCCATCTTGAGTACCGTTAAAAAAAAGATTGGTGATAAGGTGATATTTGTCTCAAATGATAACACTAGAAAATAAATCTTGTGGTCATGTGAAAACATCATCTCAGTGTGTGGCAGCTGTGCAAGGGAGGAGAACAAAGTTCATATTACAAAAGAGTGAAAATAAAATTGTATTGTCTTGAAGTACATCTAGCAGCAGAGTCACAGCTGAGGACTGGCAAGAAGCTTGTAAATATCCTTGCTCCCTGTGCATCTTGTGCTTGTTTCTAGGAACTGGCAGACAGCAATAGCAGCAGCCCAGGTGAGGAAGCTGCTTCATCAGGAACTAGCATCTGGCAGTATTTATTTGATTTGTACCCCAGCTTTCTAGCAAGAAAAATGACATCCAGGACTAGCTCTGTGTAGGACCAAGTTTCCTTTTCTGAGAACTGCTCCAGTAGCCCCATGCTTCAGCAGCGGAAAGAGAACTGAATCACCATAAGAAGGGTGGGTTGGTAGGAAACATGTTTATAGCTTTGTCCTTCTGCAGTAACTCATCAGTTGTATTGTATTTCAATCATATTTGCCTGTATCCAGAATTATTCATACTTGAGTCCTACTGCTGTCAATGGGTCTGTCTAGACATGACTAGGTCTACCTAGGACTAACCAAACCAATGTAAGTTGCCCCAAGAACACTGCTTAGAGATGGGGTATGATGGGACTGAATTTAAAATACGCATGCTGTTGAGTCCATCTCAAAGAGACTAATGCAGAGTTGGGCAAAGATGCAGAAAAGGGCAACCTAAATGATCCAGGGATTGGCACACCTTTTTGCATGGAAGGATTAAAGCATGTGGGGCTTTTCAGTTTATGGGAAAGGCAACCAACCTTAACTGCTGCATCATTTGCATTGCCTTTTTCTGAATATAAAGTATATGCACAATGCACCAAAATGTATACAGAGGATATTTCTTCTGTCTGTAAAAGGGGATTATTCAATGAAATTGATTAGCAGATGGTTCTGGCAAAAGTTGGAGGGACTCTATCTCAAGTTGCATGAACAGACTGTATGCAAAGAGGCTCTGGTGCAATTCTTCTCATCTTTCTACTTTAGACTATGGAGAGTTGCTGCCAGGTAAGGAAGACAACAAACAAGATAGCCAAATAGCCCAACAGTGTTCCTAAAGTACATGCATACTCAATGCATGATTTACAAATCTGCATTGTCTGGAAGGCTGTAGAATTATTTGGAGGTCTAGCTCTGAGGTCCTTGCAGCTGGGGCTTCAAATGCCCAGCTGCTGACCACTCTCCTCACATGCAGCTTGGACAGACCCACCTAGCTGCCTGTATGAGGTCACAGACTTGGAGAGCGGAAAGGGGGCATGGTGGGGATACAGCATAAGCTATTGGCCCTGGCCTCGTCCCCTCCCTTTCTGCAGTGCTTCCTCGAAATGGCCTGAAATGGCCATCTAGATGGAATGCAGGCTGTGAGACACCATGGTGGTAAAGAATTACACCTTGCACTATGCACTGAAGACACATAAGCTTCCGAATTCAGAGGCTTATGTGCAGCTAGGGTGGAGGGGGTTGGATTGTGTCTTCACCGAATTTTCTGCCTCAGAGTGTAGCAACAACCACTGACTTGCACAGCCTTAAAAAGCAACCAGAACTCTTGTTTTGGGCCTGCTTGCCATGCAAGGTAGGCAAAGCCAAGAGCAAACAGAATTGGTTTCTTCAGATACGTTTTTCCCCCCTGATTCAATAATCAATAAATGTTTTATTTAATATCTTCCGGCAATGTAAGAGCAGGGAAAGAAGCAAAGAGTTAGGAAGCTGCAGCCAAATGCCCAGGGAGGCATGCTTTCTCAGAAGCTTTCAGAACATACCTTCATTTTTATGACTGCTCTGTGCACAGTTCTTTGAGCTATATTTTCCAACACCTGTTTTTCTGAATTGACTTTTTATTTAAACAAAATACTCGCATAGAACAGGAAATGCACCTTTCTACTGATAAAGAATACCTGAATTGCCAAAGTACACCAGCAGGTGACATTAAGGGAACAAACTCTATAATCTCTGCTGACTCCACTGGAAATAACATTGATGCATAATGCCACAATTTTGACAGTAGGAAAAATATCCACTCGTTCTGGCTCTGATCACTTAGGCCGATGAGCATCTGTGGGAAATCTGTTTAGTGCCTTTCACTCTTATTGGAGACAACCGAGCAGGATTTGATCCGGACCCTGAGTACCATTTTTCTGTAATATTTTATTGTCAGCAGCACACAAATATTCTCATGTTCTGAACTTCTATCCAGCAAATTGGTGTGAACTACTAAGTAGCATTTCTGAACACTCTCCTCATTTGATCTCTAGTTTATTCTATATACTTCTGCTCGTATATTTGCATTTTTTCAACATTCCATTTTAAAAATCTCTGAGCTCACACAGCTTGCTGTAAGAGAGCTGGAACATAATGATCTCAAGTCAGTCTGCAAAAACCATGTATCTTCTTGGTAGTTATTTGGGACAAATTCTGAGGATATATAAGAGGATAAAATATCTATTACATTCATTCATCAGTTTGCTGAGCTTACTATTTGTGTGTGTGTAGCTAAAATATATTATCACAATGGTTTATTAATATGAAGTGTGAATATTTATTTTCAGGCTAAGCATTCTCCCTAAAGGCAAGAATAGCATTTTAATCAATTCAGTTATTTCTTTAGTAAAAAGGAATATCTCTGGAATCTCTCAGATTTGCATGTGTTAAATTTGCTCAAAATTATGTAAACAATTACACTGCATGAATTGCAACCATGACATTATAAAACACAAATGTTCTATCATTTCTTGGAGTATCTATACCTATCAACAGTTTCAGGTTAATTCTCCTTTCTTTGGACTTTACTTAATGGTTTCTGTCTAGAACAGACAGATTTCTTTTACTTCCTGTGTAGTCCTCAAACTGCTCTAGAAGTCTGGGAGCTCCTCTGGAACACATTTATGGGGTACAGAAGGGAGGAGAATAGAGCTAAATCTCATTGCATGAGCAGACACTGAGTCATACCTGTGTGGGCAACCCTACCTATTTTCACCAGGACTTAATTTACATGTCTTTGGAAAGAGGATCAAGCCAGGAAGATTCTAGAATTGTCCAAAGTGGAAATTCTAATGTAAGTGGAAAAGACCAACATTTAGAACATGTCAACAAACAGGCCCAGTGATATAAAACAAAATTTGGAAAGCTCAGTCCATGTTCTTGAGTTGGAAATTGGATCCTTTTCTAGGATATTTATGGTGAGGAGGA